CTATTATTGTTGCTGTCCTTGGATGCTGCATTTATTCACTCCCCCCTGCATTTTTGTTTATTTGGGGTGTTTAAGAAATAAAAAATCTCATCAGATCTGTTTTTCTTTATAAGAATGTTTCAAATACCTTTTTGTTATTGAATGTCCATCTTTTTTCATTTATGATTAATTTCAAACTGTCAGGTCACCCTGGACTATATTCTGAGCTTTGCTGATCTTCAGAATACATTATTCCATTCCCTCCTACATTTTCTGGTGGGTGCAGAATAGTCTTATGTTGTATGAATTTTCTTTCCTTTGTATTCACAGGTCTTTCTTCTACTTGTTTGTAGAAATTCTTGCTTCTGAATTGAATTGTTAAATTTAACCACTATATGTTTTAGAGTTCACAGTCTTACTTTTTTCTTTTGTTGTTGTTTTTTTTTTTTGCAGTCTTACTTTTTTCCACTAGAGACAATCTAGACTTTCTTCCAATTAGTATTTCATTTTCTACATTCAGAAGTTCTGGAAAGTTTTCTTGTATTATTTTTTGCTTTGTTGTTTTCAGGTTTTTTGATTTATGTTCTTCTGGGAGATTGCTAATTCTTGGGTTGTCTCTATGCATCCTGTCTTTGATATAAGGGTGTTTTAATTCAACAGAGAGCTTATTTTCTATTAATGTTTTTTTTTTTGCTTCTGTTCTTATAGATTGTCCTTTACTTCTGGATATTTGCATTTCCAATCAATTGTTCCCCTCCCCTTTTTTTGTTTCTTTAGTGAGATTCGCCATCACAGATTCAAGTTTTTCTATTCTGTCACTTATTTTTGCTGTGAGATCATACATTTTGCCCTCAAAATTCTCATTTCTCTTTTAAACCACTAAGGAACACATTGTAGTAGTTCCATGTTATCTTCAAATTCAACAAGTTCCTCTGTCTCATCAAGTGTCAGATTGTTTTCTTTTGTTTTTCAGTATTTATTCATAGATGCCTGAACTCATCTGTTAGATCTGGAGGCCATATTTCCTTCTATAGTTAATATTTTCCCTATTGATTTATCTGTTACCATTGTTGGTCTTTAAGTTTTCTTCTTCATGAGGTTTTTGGTAATTTTAGTCTTCTCCCTCTTGTTTTTTCTCTACTGCTCTTTTTCTGACTCCCTTCTTTCTGATGGTGGTTTTCCCTGGGCTAGATCTCAAAGCATCTCAGTCTCCTCCCATGTTAAGCAGTTCATAGTTCACAGCATGTATTTCTGCCCCAAATGACTTTGGCAGACAGAAATGAACCCAGATGGGTGTTGGGTTCTTTCCTTCAGACATAGGGGAGTTCTGCACAACCATCCCACCCCCACCTCACTGTGTCCTGCCCCATTCTCTTTTCCGCAGTTCTCAGTTCCTCATTTGGTGATGATTCTACCCAAATTTATTTTAGAGCAAAGGTTCTTAAACTGCAGTCCACCACTGAGGATATATTTCAGCAGATCTATGAACTTGGATGGAGGAAAATGCATCTTTATTTTCACTAATCTCTATTTGAAAATTAGCATTTTCTTCAATGTAAGCAGATACCAAAAAATTATTCTGTGGCTAGGTCTTTAGGCTTCATCAGTCTGCCAAAGGAGTCGACGACACAAAAGGTTAAGAATCTCTCTGCCTTAGAGAGACCATGAGGTTTTCTGATGGCTAAAATCCAGCATCAAAGCCAGCTGGTCTTGCTACTGACAGATTTACATGAGAAAGGCAGGATGGAGGCCAGGAGAGTGAAGCTCAAGGATCTAGCCTATTCTGCTTGGTTCTTGTTCTGACTCAAACTCATTTGTATGCCAAGCTAGAGTAAAAGGGGTCTGTCTTCATTGCAGCTCTGCTAATTACTACACATGTGATCTCAGTCATTTTGCCTCTGTGGACTTCAGTTTCCTCATACGTAAGATGAGGCTTTTGGACTGGTGAGACATTGTGTAATACTTCAGATGGAGAATGGATTTGGAGCTAAATAATGGGTGAGAAGCCCAACTTGGGGTCTCTGGTCTCTGCCTATGTCTGGTCTCAGCTCTTGATAGCAGTCTGGATGATTGCACCTGCCCAGCCCAGCCATATTCCCATGTTTCCCCATTATTTCTTCAGGTCTCTTTAAAGACTCTTTTGTCCACCCAAGAACACATCTGCCATTTGTAGTTCCTTTGAAACAAGTCTCCCTTACAATGTTCTTTCACCAAAAGTTCTGTTTTTTTCTTTATTTTTTAAAAATGAGTAATCAACAACATTTAGAGAGGCACCATGATGGAATAGAGAGGATCAGCCTCTGAGCCACCATATCCTGGATTCAGGTCCCCCCTCTGAGACATATTGGCCCTAGGCATGTATATGTCTGTGACAGTACCCCTCAGGGCTCAAGGACACTCTCTAAGACTATAAGCTACAAAGCAATCACTAGTCTGTATTGGAAGGGTGTTTCTGTACTGGGAATCTCCTATATCAATGAAATTATAAGCCTGCACAAAAAAATGGAGTATTCCTGTATTTCTGAGACTCAGCAAATAAAAGCCTGCCAGATGCTAGGACAAAAATGGAAGGGTGCTCCCAGAAGGGAAGCATTCCATGTTACCATCCACTGGACATCATGATCACTCCAGAATAAACTCAACAATAAGGTAAGAAAGGTGGATTTCTGTCACAGAAGCTTCATCATGATTCTGGCATCTTTAACCCACACAGTTTCCCTTCTCCTCTGAAGGTAGGCAAATGTAGTCTAGCAGACATAAATGACTTTGGAGCACAGTTAAGTTTTATTACAATGTAAGGGAATTTCAGGGCACAAGCTACATACAGTTGAAAATGACCACTGATAGACATTCTTACTGGCTAGTCAGCTTAGCTCAACTCAAGCTTACAAGCACTCACAGGCTAACACCGCCGACTGTAGCTGGTGCTTCATGTTCCCAAAGACAGATGCTTTCTAATTTTTGCTGAAATATGTTCCTGGGAACCTCATTGTAAAACAGAAGGTGGAAAAGTGGGCATCATTGCCTATCCAGCTCCATCACATATCTTTGGGACACCGTCTGCCTGCAGTTGCATCCTTCCAACACTAGATGACACTGGTGCTGCCAATGTTAAAAGCTGAAGGGACTTCAGCTAAACTTGTAGATGGAAATCTAGGATTAAATGAGGTGGGGGTAGGTTTAGAGTATTAAGAAGTGAATTATCAATGTGGTTTTTTTTCTCAACCAGGAAAAAAATATAACAACAAAATACGAAATCAATAGCTACACTGATGGGACTAAATAAATTATTACAGGAGGATTTTCTTTTCTGTCCCCTCCAGAAGGAAGTATAATATAATAGATAGGGCACTGGACTGGGAAACAGGCAAAACTAAACCCACCTCACTTACTTGGTGTGTGATCCTAGATAAGTTGCTTAACCTTTCTGTGCCTCAGTTTCCTCACTTGTAATATGAAGAGGTTGGACTAGATAATACCTCTATTCCTTCTGCTCTCTCCATGATCCTATGATATCAGCCTCCTACTCACCTCCCCCCCCCAATCCCCACTCTATAATCTGCTCTCCTGAACTAAGTTTCTTTCTTAGGTCCCTTTCTAGTCTCCAGATGAGAAAGGTCCTCAACCATTTGGGCTCAGAGTTTACCTCTCTAGTTTTTCATCAGTACTACAACATTTCAACCATCTTTTTTACTGCTGACTATGGACCTAGGAATTCCTAGAGTCCCATTATCTACCACTGTGTTGGCCTAGAAGAGATAACCTTAATGCTTCCACAGAATCACAGAATTTGAGGTTTGGAAGGAACCTCAGTGGTCATATAGTCCAATCACATAGAAAAGAAATCCTTACTACAACAGACCTTGACAAATGCCCAATATAACACATCCTAGATATGTGCATCATTTTCCTTCTTTCCTTCTTTCCTTTCTCCTTCCTTCTTTTCTTCTTTTTTCCTTCTTCCTTCTTTCCTCCTTCCTTTGTTCCTTTTTTCCTCCTTCCTTCTTTTTCCTTCCTTCTTCCCTCCATCTTTTCTTTCTTTCTTCCTTTACCTACGTATATAGAGCTTTATTGTTTACAAAGCACTTTCACATAGAGTATCTCATCTGATCTTCACAACCCTTTGTGAGGCAAGCAGGGCACATAATATTATCACCAATTAACAGATAAAGCTGAGAGATGATAAAGGACTCACACAAGGTCACACATATCCAGTGAATGGCAGCCAGGACTAGAACTCAGGTCATCTTACTCTGAATCCAAGGCTCTATTCTCTATATACCATTGCCTTTTTGTCTTTTTGTCCCTTTGAGCTATTTTATCAGATTCCATCCCATGTTCTGAACTCAGATCTAATGTATGAAGGACACTGTGATACATGTGATAGAATATTAGGCAATAACTTTTCAATCTCCCTAGTAAATATCTTTCTATCTTTCTATCTATGTATCTATCTATCTATCTATCTATCTATCTATCTATCTATCTATCTAGGCATACAAAGCATGATATAGTGAAGAGAGAGCTACAAAGGAGCCAGGAAGACCTGGGTTCAAATCTCACCTCAGAATCATATAGGCTATGTGACCTTAGGCAAATCACTCAGTGCCCCTAGGTAGCCCTCTAAGACTCTAGGTTATAGAACAGCTACTGAACTGCATTAGTAGGGGACCTTATGGGGAACTCTCTACTCCCAATTAAATCACAGGTCCTGTCAAAAAAGGAAAAAGATTTTTAAAAGTATGTACACACATGTGCTGATATGCTGTAGGTGGAGCTTCTCCTGCTAAGACTCTTCCTGGGGACTCTTCCATCTATCTGAAAATCCCCAAAAAAAGAATTCCAGAAAAAAAAGCCCTCAGAATTTGCTCCTCTGAGAATGCTTTTCAAGTTTTGCTTTGTATTTTCCTGAATGTTGTGGTCATGGACATTCCCAGAATTTCACTAGGTGTGTGACCTTGGGCTAGTCACTTTGAGCCTTTGGGACTCAGTTTCCCAATCAGTAAAATGAGAAAGAGAGACAAAGAGAAGTGACTATATAATGTTTTAAGTTTTGCAAAGGGCTTTCTATACAATATCTCATTTGATCCTCACAATGCCCTGTAAGAGAGGTTCCTCATTTTGCAATGAGGAGACAGAGACTTAGGTTGTTCTCCTTGCCCAGAGTCACACCACTAGTCTTTTTCAAAAGTGCGATTCAAACCCAGGTATTCCTGACGGAAAGTCCAAAAGGCTTCCCACACTATGATATTGTCGCTCAAGAAAGAGAAGAGGAGAGAGACAGATACAAAGATATTGAGAGACAGAGACAGAAAGAAATAAATGGGAAGATGCAGAGGAAAAAGATAGCAAACAACATGCAGATAAGTGGAGAGATTTTCTCCACACGAATTGAAAAACATCTTTCCACTTGTCTGTCTCTGAGAGAGCATAGATTTAGAAAGCACACACTTAGGATTTGGGGGGAGGGTCTCTCTGAAGACTACTTTAAAAGGTAAAATTGACCTGAGATTCTTCCTGCAACTGTTTTTACCAATATGTCATATACCCTTCCCATCCCAGTCAGCCTTCAGCCTGAGATGGTTGAAAAACATATGGCAGCCCTTCAAAGTTCTAGAATACAAACATTCAACAATATATTTTCTACTACATTGTGTTCCAAATGAAATCTATCTGGTATTGGTCTCTTCAGCTCCATCAGGACAAGATAAAATTTGGAGATGAGCATTAATACCTCTGCTCTTGTCTTGGTGCTTCCAGGTAGCCTGTGTGACTAAGAATTTGATCACAGGTGGCAGGTTTTGAAATCTCACAACAACAATACATCACCATTCAGTTCCTCCTCCAAGAATAACAGTTTCCCAAATCCTAGTAAGAAAGAGCTTACAGAGTTGGGATTAGAAATTCTCTTTGAAGAATCTGAAGTTGAGCTGTTCACAGTGACTCTTCAGCACCTTGGCCAGAGCTGGAGATCCACAGAAGAACACCTGGACTTTGCCCTTGTTTTCAGCAGCCACCTTTCCGAACACCTGAAGCAGAGGAGGAGAAAGAAGAGAAAGGGACAGAGGACACTGGTCACAGATTTAGAGTGAAGAGAACTTAGAAATAATCTACTTCAACCTCCTCATTTTATAGATGAGGAAATTGTGGTCCAGAAAAGTGAAGTGGATTAAAATAGGTAGGAAATCTTGGTTGAAGACAGAAATTAAACCAAGTCTCTGTCACTAACTCCATGCCCCTCAAACAAGGCACATAACTTTAACCCCTGGGTCTTCTCCTTCTTCCTCTACTGGAATAGTCTCCTTTCTCCACCATGTGCTGTAGAGCTTATAGGGACCATGGCGTTTCTCCCCATGATCTTAAATTATAGCCAAAGGCTTGCTATGAGTCCTATGCATGGTCCTTAGTTTCCCCATCTTAGAAATGGAAAGGATGATCCCTATTTTCCCTGGGAGAGAGGAGGTGTGGCTCTATGGGTAAGTTCCTAGATGGGAAGGAGAACCACAGGATAATATGAAAGTACTAATGTGTTTGATCACTTTAAACTGTATTATAATTCTATGATGCCACCAGGCCCTTACTTTGCCCCAGTCTGGTCTCCCTGGCTGGGTCCTTGTCTTCAGTCCAGTGATGGAGTCTTTATTTTCTTTCTTGGCCAGGAGATCAAGTGCCATCTGTAGGCCAATAGCTTTCATGTCATTCTTGCCCAGGGCAGAAGTCATGTACATGTGCAACTCCAGGAAATGGGCTGGGGGCAAGAGAAGAGAGAGAATACTTTAAGGAGAGTCCAGTTCATCTGAGGTAGGACATGATCCAGTTCTACCCCTTCTAGGGTTTCAGATAGTGATGAAAAGGCTCTGAAATTAATTTATTTAATCAACTTATAATTCAGTACTTGAAAATATTTATGGTTTTACAAGTATGGGCATTCCCCAAAACAGATCACAATTCCCTTAGTACCTTCCTTGACCTCTTCTGTTCCTACCCCATTCCCAATTTTTGTTTATTAGGGTACACATGAGTGCTACCTCCTTTGTGGGCCATATGAAGCTCTGAGACTCAACTTAACTTACCTCCTGGTTCCTCTTCCGCCTGATCCATCTCAAGCTTGGTCAGCAAACTCACAAACCACTCAAATGACCTCTGGTCTCGGTTGATCCAGATGAAGTCCACCTAGTGATATTAATCCATCAAGTTAGTAAATATACCATCAACTTTTTTCATTAACTTTTTTAAGGTACTTTCAGTTCAGCTGATTATCTGAGTACCTACTACCCACAAGGCTCTGGGTGAAGAGAATTTCACATTTATTCTCACATTTTCTCCTTATGACTTGTCCTACTACTACTACTGCTGCTGCTGCTGCTGCTGCTGCTGCTGCTGCTGCTACTACTACTATCTAGCTAGCTGGCTAGCATTTATACAGCACTTCAAGGTTTGCAAAGTGCTTTACAAATATTATTTCATTTTATCCTCACAACCTCAAGAGGTATTTGTATCCTCATTTTACAATTGAGGAAACTAAGACAAAGGGAGGCTAATGAGTTGCCCAGGGTTACACAGCTAGTAAGTGCCTGATGACCAATGTAAATTCAGGTCTTCCTGACTCCAGCTTCTGTGCTGCACCTAGATGCTAGGATTCCTTTACATTCATTGATCTATGATTATTATGCTTATTTTTCAGATGAGAAACAGAGACCCAAATAAGTCATAAGATCATAAAATCATATATTTTGAGCCAGAAAGGACCTTGGACATCAACAAACCCAACCTGCTCATTTTGCAGATAAGCGAAGTGAGGTTGAGAAAATTAAGTGCTTTGTTCAAGCTTAAATAGACAGCCAGTACACAAACCTGGATGTCCTGGCTCTCCACCCTTCCCTTGGAATATCTAGGACTGGATGCCCTGTTTCATCATGAAACTCAGGCTGATTTTCTGTGTAAGGATCAGCCCATTTGATCTGTTGCAGGTGTAGTATTATGTGCCAGACTTGAACTATGGAGAGCTGGGTGGGAAGCCTGGTTGTCTCCCCTATTAGATTGTAAGCTCCTTGAGGGCAGGGCTGTCCTTTTGTATCCCCAGGGCTTAGCACAGTGCCTAGCACATAGTAGGCTCTTAATAAATGTTTATTAAATTGAATTAAAATCAGGAGTATAATACTTGGCAACCACTGAGAAGTTGTCAGGAAAGGGCTTTGTGAATCTTAAAGTGCTATCTAAATGTAAGCTGTTATTATTGTTAGTAGAATGGGGCCATGTCAGTGACCATTCTCTTTCAGAGCCAGCAAATAGGATTCATGGCTTCTGAAAGTCAGAAATCATGTAGTTGGACCCTCTCATTTGGCAGTGGAGGAAACTAGGGCCCAAAGAGAAGTAACCTATCTAAGGTCACACAGCTGGTTTGGCAGCAGAACTGAGTCTGGAACCAATGTCAAAAGTCACAAATCTACATCCAGAAGGGGCTTTTAAAAGCCATCAAGTTGAACCTCCTCATTCTACACATGAGAAACCTGAGGCCCAGAGAGGCTGTGGGTGACAGAATCAGGATTCAAACTCAGGCCTTTTGACTTCAACCTCTGCAACTTTACCACATCACCATGAGGTCTCTCCTAACTCTCTATACAGTTTCCTTTCTGACCTAGATGCTTAATAAAGAGGGTATCTTAAACTGCTGTGGGTGCAGTGAGTGACTTTGGAGGAGGTCCTTGTCCATGTCCCAAAGCTCCCAGTCTTCTGGGCTTGCCACCCTCTGCACTCAGCTCAAAGCGTGGCCATATACCTTGCATCCTTGGCATAGCCCAGCACTTAAGAATACTCTCTGTCCAGGCTTTTTCAAAAGAGATGTGGAGGGGTGAGGGGTGGTGGTGGAATAAACCCTTTTGCAAAAATGGAAGAATTAGAGCAAGGATTCTTAACGTTTTTGGTGACACAGACTCTTTGGAAGTCTGGTGAAGCCTATGGATTCCTTCTTGGAATAATGTTTTTAAAGGTATGAAATAAAATAAAATATAAAAAAGGCCAAAAACTAGTGAGAATGGGGAATTTTTTTTCCTATCCAAGTACATGGACTTCCCAAAGAATCTCTAGTAGAGGGAGTTTCAAAAAAGATTATGGGAGCCATAGCATTCCTACCAGTACCACCAAAGCCAATAGGACCTGCTCTCCAAGGAGATGGGGTAGGTGATCACATACTCAATGTTATTTGAATGGCCAAGAAATACTATCTTTCCCTCCATCCCTACTCCCACAGAACTAGACACATTTTCCCTACTAGAAATTCATTTCTTCATGTTGATGAATTTCTAGCTTTCAAAATGAGACACATAATTTTTTTATTTAAATGTAAACTTAGGAGGCATTAGAATCATTGACTCTTCGAAATCTAATAGAGCCTCTCACTCAATGCAAGAACCCTCTCTGCAGTGTCCTTGACAAAGATTCAAATATTTCTCATGCCAGAGAACTCATCCTGTGAAAGCCAAGCCCTCATTTTGTTTTATAACAACTCTAATTGCTATGCATAATCTAAATCTGCCTCTCTGCCTCCCCGAATCATACACACCTGCCAGTCCTAATTTTTCCCTCAGAAACTATACAGAATAAGTCTGATCCTTCTTCCATACGACAGCCTTTCCCATCTATTTTGATTAATTTAATTAGATGGTTTCTTCCTGATAGGTAATGAAGATCCTCTCCCAGAAAGGGTGGATGGAATAGAGGACAGGGAGAGCAGGTCCTCAGGGATAAGGCAGCATGGAACATTGGGCATCTGGGAAAAGAGGATGGGGGAGGCAGGGTTGGGAGAGGCTTTGGGGGAAGGTGTGGGAAAGTAATCAAGGGTTCCACCAGGTAAAAAAGTCATCTTATTCGTCCCCCTTCCTCTGTGAAAGATATTGTCTCTTGGGTTGCTATACATAATTAGAGAACGATATGGTCCCGGCCACCCTACCCTTAGAAAACCACCACTTACCTTCTTTAGCTTCATCTCATCACCCTTGACATTCTCACACCATGAGTAATGGCAGTTGGGGCAGCTTCGCTTTCTCTTTTGGTGCCTGAGTAAAATCAGACAAAGAGGGCCAATGAGAGATATTGGAAACCGGGGTATGAAAAATGGAGGAAAGAGTAACAAGGGAAATGAAGAAAAGGGAAGGGAAGAAAGAGGGTGTAGTGGACCAAGATACTGAAGGAATTAGCTGTTGTTGTTGTTTTAAGTTAACCCCCTACACTCCCACAATGGCAGCTGTAACTATCATGAGCAAGGAAGAACGGGCAGACCTGGGACGGTTGGGGTTACCTTTGGCTCCAGGTAACTTGACCTGGGACTGGCTATGGAATCTTTGGGTACACACAAAATCAGTTTTTAGGACTTTGGCGATGAGCTCCTGAGACCCTAGGGAACCTCCTTGCTCTCTGCTTTTAATTTTCTTGTTGCCACTTTTATTTTCCTAAACTGCTTTTAATTGTCTTGGAAACTACTTGTACCCCTTGGATATTAGAATATGTTTTAATTAACCAGGAAGTTTATTTGACCCCTAAGGCAGTGAGAGATCCAGAACATCAGAAGTGGAACCCCAACAAGGATTGGCTTGGAGTAAGAAAAAAGAAAGAGGAGAAGCAGGCAAGACTCTCTCTGGACTTCAGCAGATCAGGGTCTGGTATGATGGGTGAAATCTGAAATAACTGAGGAAACAAAGGTTCAAGCTTCTGAGCATATTGATTTATTAAATAGTGTGTGCCAATTGTATAACAAATCAGGACCAAGTCTCCTCTGCTTGGCATTGGACCTCAAATATAGGGAGCAACAGATTTTTATGCATTGAAAGAAAACAGTCAACAGGATATAAACCAGGATACAAGACTAAGTAATCTGATTTCTATTGGAGGAGAGATTAAGGAATTTCCAAGTTGGAAGAGGAATGAGTGAGTTTTGGGGAGTTGGGCTGGGGAGAGTGAGCAAGTGGACTTTGCCAGATATGAAACAGGATGTTATTCAGTTTCCATGATTAGCAAGCAGGTGGAATTTATAGGAAAGTGAAGCTGAAGTCATAAAACAGAGTCAGTTTTACAAGACAGAAGCAATTTGGTACACACAATTCCCCCACTGGCAAGTCAGTCACAGATCCCCTACTGACCTGTACATAATGCTCTGCAGGATGGAGGCAAAAGGGGTGATGCCAATACCAGCCCCAATCAGTACTGCATGTTCAGAAGCAAAGATCCGTCGGGTTGGAGTTCCATAGGGACCATCCAGGTAGCACTGGAATGAGAGGAGGGAAGGGGTAGAATTTCATGCTTCTTCTGGCTCTGAGAACATTTGAACCTCTGGGTTGCTGAGCAGCCCTGGCCTAGGTCTCAGAGACTCCTCTTCCCTGCCCTACCCCAAACCCACCCCCCCAAACTCTCCTGGGGAGAAAAGGTCTCTTTGGAGAAGTCATACAACCACAGTATCACAGAAGCTTAGATCTGGGAGAATCCACCTTGCCCAACCCCCTCACTTTACAGATACAGATTAAGAGTTAGGGAGTGCTTTGTCTATGGTAGCTAGGTCATGCAGTGGATAGGGTTTCGGACTTGGAATTAGGAAGGGCTGAGTTCAAAGCCAGACTCTGACACTTTTCTGTGTCACCCTGAGCAAGTCATTTATTTAACCTCTCTTTGCCTCAGTTTCTTCAACTGTAAAGTGGGGATAAAAATTTCACTTATTCAGGGTTTTGTAAGGATCAAACGAGAGCATATCTGTAAAGCACCTAACAGTGCCTGGCATGTAGGAGGTGCTATGTAGCGCTATATAAATGTTAGTTCCTATTAGCTACTATTAAAATGCATGGCAAAGTAGAGACTAGAAAATGGATTCTCTCGGATGGGTATATACATAGTACAGTAGAAAGATTATTGGACTGGCTTCAATATGAGCTCTGCCATTTACTAGCTTATGAGGTTGGGAAATTCACAATTTTTCTAGGTGTCGGTTTCCTCATCTGTAAAGTGAGGAAATTGGGCTGAGATGCCTCCAAGCTATAATCCTGTCATCCAGCAGCATGGCCTAATGGACAGCTTCCATTTGTAATGTCAGTGGGGCATAATGTCATAAAATCACAGATGTAGTGCTGGGTGGGACCTTAGAAATCATCCAGTGTACCCCCTTCATTTCACAGATGAGACACTGGATATCTAGAGACACGACTAGCCTGAGGTCACACAAACAGTAAGTGACCGAGGTGGAATTTGGATCTGTTTACTGACTTCACAACCAGCTATCTTTCTACTGTTTCACTCTGATGAAGAAACTGAGGCCCAGAGAGGTTATTACTTGCCCAAGACTGCGTAGGTTGAGTAAGTGATGAGCTCAAATTCGAACTCAAGTCTTTTAATCCTCCACCGAGTGCTCCTTCACCCATGGGGACAAACCTTCCAAATAGACTCTCCATCATAGCTTTGGTCTTCCCCATCCTTAGAAAAGAAGGACAAGAGGGCAGTTCGGTGACACAGGAGATAGAGCTCTGGCCTTGGAGTCGGGGGACATGACTTCAAATCCAGCCTCAGACACTTGAAACTTACTAGCATTGTGACCCTGGGCAAGTCACTTAACCCCAATTGCCTCACAAAAAAAGAAAGAAAGAAACAAAGAAAAGAGAAAAGGAAAGAATGATAATGTAGGTCTTCCCTGGGGCACATGGCTCACCACTTCTTTAAAGACTTCTCCCCAACCTCCCTCTTCCCCACCATATCCTCTTCACTTGGAGTCTCTTACCTTGATGTTACAGAATCGGTGGTTTTCATTTAACTGAGGAAAGACCTATAAGGAACAGAAAGTTGGGCTGGTCCAGGGAGCCGCATTAGCTGTTTTCCCTGTTCTTGGCCACCACAAATCTTTTCCTAATGCAGACTTGGGAGGAGGCTAGAGTAGTCCTAGCAGTATTTTTTTAAAAGGTCAGATTTTTTAAAATTCAAACACTGGACACTCGGGTTGCTGTGGGGTACTGCATCTATTCCCTTTGGGAGCAACGCTTTTTCAGGAAGCTAGCACGAACAAGGGGACATGGATTTTTGCTGCATCATGAGTGATATGGATTACACACACACTTTTATCTCCACTATGGATGCCCACTCTTCTTCTACCCCTGCGAGATAGACAGGCCTCCCCATTCACTATCACCTGGGTATGCCATACCATGTTTATTCTTGGCTGAAAAAAAGGGCAGGATTATGCCCTTCTTCTCCATAAATGGATGAAGGACTACATCCTATATCTTGAGGACTTTTAAGCATATCAATTTAGCAGGAAGCTGACCCTTAGCGGTTCCTGGAGTAGAGCTCAGTATAAGAATGTAGTCACCAGGGAAAGAAAAGTAATCACTCTCTACTCCTAGCCCCTCTGTCTCCTTCCTCCCCACCCCCCCAACCTCCTCCAAGTCCCAGAGCCTCACACTTCTTGGCTGAACCTTTTCTTCTCTCTCCTTTCCATAGTCAATAAGGTCTTCCTTGTTTTGCTGGGGCAGTTTCTCAGATGTGTAGTTCATCAGTTGCACGGTGTTCTCCGTGCTAGTGGCCACTACTCCTTGAGCTGTATTAGCAGAATGAGCACCCAAGACATGGATCTTGGTTTCCTGGAAACAAGAGTTTTCAGCATAGGATGTTCTGATTTGCTTTCCTGCTTAGAAGGTCACCTCCTTTGGGTTGCCTTGACTGGTTGGACATGTCCAGCTCTGGTTCCTTCTTTCCCCTTCCCCTCAGCCACAAGGTGTTGTTTTATCTTACGCTACTGGGCATTTGTTCAGGTGTGAATGATCGATATGGAATTGGCCATGGGATGTCTCTGATCCCTGTTACAACATTATAAACTCCCCAGGGAGGCAGGAATAGGGTCTGGTCTCCTTTGTCTGTTATTTTATAAGCCTCTGTATACATAAGCCATAGGATCAGAGGAACACAGATTTAAGAATTGGAAGGGACCTTAGAGACGAATTGTCCTCCTCCCCAAACTCCTCACTTACCAGATGAGGAAACTGAGGCCCAGAGAGGCTACATGATTTCCCCATAGTTATACATATACCAAGGGGCAGAGCTGGGATTTGAACCCAGCTCCTCTGATCCCAAATCCAGCATGCTTTTCACTGGGCCACACTGCCTTAGGCCTCCACATCCTCTTACTACTCCCCTTCCATGTCCTAATGATTTCTTTTCCTCCTCTCCTCACCATCAGGAGATGCTTTCAGATCCTTCACTTTCCTCTAAGGTGTCAGGGTCTGAGAACGGTTTATCTTATCTTTCCCAGGTATTTGCCTTCTAACTGAGAATAAAGACTTAATACAAAGAGGTAAGCTTTAACCAATGGGATTTCAGACATCATCCAAAGAATATTCTGAACGCTAATGAAATCACACATCATAGGCAGCTTATATAAGTCTAGACCTGTGCAGACTTCTGTTGTTCAGCAAATGATATCAACTGACTGAAGCGGGAGTACTCAGGTCACTGCCCTAGGCCTAGGAGTGCTGAGTTAGCTCTAACCTGCTCCTTAAATGTTCAGTGTAAGCATTTATACCTTGGAAATCTGCAAACATTATAAACCAGGGCTTGGTTTATTGTTTTGTTGATTGTCTGGGCTTAAGAAAGTGATGGGAAGTGTTAATGATGTAGATTAAATTCTGAAAGTGTTCATAAGTTCATTTGTTTTTTGGCCCAGAGAGCTGGTACCAGCACACTTCTGGATGGGACCCATGGCTTTTGAGGAAAGCTTCCATTATCCTTCAGCCGCCTACCTGGAGCTTTCTCTGACTCCTTCTGAACTTCAGGCTCTGTGTCAGCCTCTTGACACCAAAACAAATAGGGTCAGAAGCCTTGAAGTAATTGTACAACCTATTTGTCCACTGTCCCTGAGATCTGATGTGCAGCCAGATGGTGCCTGTGAAGGGAATGAAATCAGTAGGGAAGAGAGGACAAGTTGAATGTCACAGAAAAGAAGAAATAAAATAAACACATATCTATTAAGGATTTTCTCTGTGATAGGCACTGTGATAAATGCTATAGAAAATTTTAAGGAGCCAAGATGGCAGAGTAGAGAAGTACTCAGCTGAGCTCCCCCAAATTCCCTTAAAAATAACTCTGAGATAATGCCTCAAGCAAAATACTGGATGAACAGAACTAACAAAAGTTCAAGTGAAACAATTTTCCAGCACAAGACAACTTAGGAGGTCACCAGGAAAGTTCTGTCTCACCAGGGGAGGTCAGACAGGCCTGGAGCTCAGGGTAGACCACACAGCTCAGGATGCTCTCTGGAGGTGACTGCATTGGTGGTAGCAGCAGCTTTAGGAGCTGTCAGCCAATGGACAGTGAAGGGATCAGACAACTGGTTGGAAGGAAATTTCAGGGAACCCTTTACTGGCACTGAGTTCAAGACCCTATTGTATTGCCCATATGTAGTTCCAGGTTGCAGTCCTAGGGACAATAGGACTTATAGCTGTTGAAGGGCCCTGGGTCATGGTTCCAGGGTGGAGAGGAGTCCTTGTGGTTACTTATGGGGGAGTAGGGACTCTGATCTCAGTTCTAAGACAGAAGGGAACACTAACAACTGAAGCTGTAGGAGAGTGAGGGGCCTGGTAACAGCCCCAAGGCCAGGAGGAATGCTAGTGGTAGCCACAGAGGAACAAGGTCTCTTTCTGGGTAAAAGCCATAGCACAAGCCAGGACAGCAGTGATCACACCTCCCTAGATCATGCCACCTTGGAAACACCAAAAACCAAAAGCTAGCTCTGAAAACAGCAGCAAGAAAGGCCTGAAGCTTAGAACAATGCTGTCTCCGCCCTGAGAGCAGAGCCCAATTTTAACATAAAGTTAAATGTCCAGAAAAAGGCTAGAAAAGTGAGCAAACAACAACAACAACAACAAAAGAACCTAACCACAAAAAGTTACTCTGGTGACAAGGAAGAACAAGACACAAACCCAGAAAAAGATAACAATATCAAAGTGGCTACAAGCAAAGCCTCAAAGAAAAATGTAAATTGGATACAAGCCTAACAAGAACTCCTGGAAGAGCTAAAAAAGACATTTTAAAAATCAAATAAGAGAGGTAGGGGGAAAACTGGGAAAAGAAATGAGAGTGATGAGGAAAATTATGAAAAGAAAGTCAACAGTTTGGTAAAAGGGGCACAAAAATAGTGAAGAAAATAAAATCTTAAAAAATAGAAAAAGTCATATAGTTTTTTTTTAAAAGGCACAAAAATCCACTGAAGACAGCTCCTTAAAAAGCAGAATTGGCCAAATGGAAAAAGAGGCACAAAAGCTCACTGAAGATTTAGAATTGGTAAATAGAAGCTAATAATTCCATGAGACATCAAAAAACAAACAATAAAACAAAATCTGTACTAGTGGAGGACCTCAACTTTATCTTCTCAGAACTAGACAAGTCTAACCATAAAATAAACAAGAAAGAATTTAAGGAGATGGATAAAATTTTAGAAAAGTTAGATATGATCGACTTCTGGAGAAAACTGAATGGCAATAGAAAAGAGTATACCTTCTTCTGAGCTGTAAAGACACCATCACAAAATTGACCATATATTAGGGAATAAAAACCTTACAACCAAATGCAGAAACCCAAATATTAAATGCATCCTTTTCAGACCATAATACAATAAATTATATTCAATAAAAGGCCATAAAAACATAGATTAAAAATTATTTGGAAACTAAATAATCTAAACCTAAAGAATGAGTGAGTCAAAGAACAAATCACAGAAACAATCAATAATTTCATTAAAGAGAATGACAACAATGAGACAATATACCAAAACTTATGAGATGCAGCCAAAATAGTACTTAGGGGAAAATGTACATCGTTAAATGCTTACATCAATAAAATAGAAAATGAACATATCAGTGAATTGGGCATGCAATTTAAAAAAAAAACTGGAAAAAGGAAAAATTTAAAAAACCCCAATTAAGCACCAAATTGAAAATCCTGAAAATGAAGGTAGAGATAAATAAAATTGAAAGTAAGAAAATCACTAAACTAACAAATAAAATGAGGAGCTGTTATTATGAAAAAATACATAAAATATTGGTTAATTTTATTTTTAAAAAGAAAGAAGAAAATAAAATTATCAGTATCTAAAATGAAAATAGTATTGGGCAGGTAGGTGGTACAGTGGATAGAGCACCAGCCCTGGAGTCAGGAGCTCCTGAGTTTACTTGCTAGCTGTGTGACCCTGCACAAGTCTCTTAACCCCAATTGCCTCACCTAAAATAAAATGAAATGAAAATGAATGTGCCACTGATGAAGATGAAATTAAAGCAATTATTAGGCATTATTTTGCCCATTTATATACCACCTAAGTGAAGTGGATGAATATTTACAAAATATTAACTAACCAGATTAACAGAAGTAGAAATAAAAAACTTAAATAACTCTATCTTAGAAAAGGAAATCAAATAACTCATAAATGTGCTCACTAAGAAAAAATCCCCAGGACCAGATGGATTCACAAGTGAATTGTACTTAACATTTAAAGAATAATTAATACCAATATTATATAGATTATTTGGAAAGATAGGCAAAGGAGTTCTACCAAATTCCTTTTATAACACAAGTATGGTTCCAATACCTAAACCAGGGAGAGCAAAAAGAGAAAAAGAAAATTATGAACCAATTTCCCTAATGAATATTAGTGCAAAAATCTTAAATAAAATACTAGCAGGAGATGACAGCAATATCACAAAGAAAATACACTATTACCAGGTGGGATTTATTATTTAATGCAGGGCTGGTTCAATATTAGGAAAATTATCAGCATAATTAACCTTATCAATAATGAAACCAATAAAAATCATATTATCTCAATAGATGCAGAAAATTTTTTTTGACAAAATGCAACACTCATTCCTATTTAGAAAGCATAGGAATACATGGAGCCTTCCTTAAAATGATAAATAGTATCTATTTGAAACCAATAGCAACCATTGTCTGTAATGGGTATAAGCTAAAAGCCTTCCCAATAAGATCAGGATGAAGCAAGGATATCCACTATTACCACTATTATTCAATATTGTTCTAGAAATACTAGCTATAGCAATAAGACAAGAAAAACAATTGGAGGAATAAAAATTGGTAATGAAGAAATAAAACCATTGCTCTTTGCAGACGATTTTATGGTATATTTAGAGAATCCTAGGGAATCAACTAAAAAAAGAAACTAGTTGAAATAATTAACAATTTCAGCAAAGTTGCAGGACATAAAAAAAACTCACATAAGTCATTAGCATTTCTATATATTATCAACATAGTCTAGCAGCAAGAAATAGAAAGAGAAATTCCATTTAAAATAATTACAGACAATATGAAATACCTGGAAGTCTACCTGCTAAGACAAACCCAGGAACTATATGAATACAGTTAAAAAAACACTTTTCACACAAATAAAGTCCGATCTAACTAATTGGAGAAATATTAATTTCTCATGTGTAGGAGGAGCAAATATAACAAAAATGACAATTCTACTTAAATCAACTTACATATTCAGTGCCACACCAATCAAATCACCAAAAAATTATTTTATAGGGCTAGAAAAAATGATAACAAAATTCATCTGGAAGAACAAAAGATCAAGAATATCAAGGGAATCAATGAAAAATAATGTGAAGGAAGGTGGTCTAGCCATACCAAATCTCAAGCAGTATTGCAAAGCAGTAATCATGAAAATAACCTGGTATTGGCTAAGAAATAGAGTGGTGGATCAATGTATATATTAGGTACACAATATCTAGTAATCCAGTGTTTAACAAACACAAAGATCCAAGATTGTGGTAGAATAAATCACTATTTGACAAAAATTTCTGGGAAAATTGGAAAGCAGTTTGGCAGAAACTTGGTATAGATTAACACCTCACACTATATACTAAAATAAGGTCAAAATGGATACCTAATTTAGAAATAAAGGGTGACATCATAAATAAAGAACCAGGGAATATTTTACGTGTCAGATTTATGAATAAGGGAAAAATTTATGACCAAGCAAGTAGTAAAGAGCATATGAGATATAAAATGGATAATTTTGATTACATCAAATGAAAAAAAAAGTTTTACATAAACAAAAGCAACGCAGACAAAATTAGAAGGAAACCAGGAAACTAGGAAAAAATTTACAGAAAGTTGCTCTGATAAATGTCTCATTTCTTGAATATATAGGGAACTGAGATAAATTTATAACAATAAAAGCCATTCCCCAGATGACAAATGGTCAAAGAATATGAGCAGGCAGTTTTCAGAAGAAGAAATTAGAGCTATCTATAGTCACCTGAAAATATGCTCTAAATCACTACTGATTGAATTAGTCCAACCATTCTGGAGAATAATTTAGAGCTATGCCCAAAGGACAATAAAACTGTGCATACCCTTTGACCCAGCAATACCATTACTAGGTCTGTATTTCAAAGAGATCATAAAAAAGGGACCGCTACCTCTCAAGATAGCCCAGTCTATTTTGGGACAGCTCTAATTGTTAGTAAGTTGTTGTTCTCATTATTGTCATTGTTGTTGTTGTTGTTGTTGTTGTTGTTGTTGATGATGTTGATGATGATGATGATGATATCATCAAGCCTAAATTGGTCTCTTTGCAACATTCACCCATTACTCCTGGTTCTATTCTCTGGAACCAAGAACAAATCTAATCCCTTCTCTATATAGCAGCCTTTCAAATACTTGAAGAGAGCCGTCATGTTACCCCTAATTGTTCTTTTCTTTTTTTCTTTTTTTTTGTTAAGGCAATTGGTGTTAAGTGACTTGCTCAGGGTCACACAGCTAGTAAGTGTCAAGTGCTTGGCCTGAGGCCGGATTTGAACTCAGGTCCTCCTGACTTAGCTGCCCCTTGAGTTTTCTTTTCTCCAGGCTAAATACATCTAACTCCTTCAT